GGAAATCGTATCGCCCACCATTGTGGAAGCAAATGGTCAAATGGTGACGTGAGAGGGCTTGTGGGCAGCCTTGTTGCAATCCTGGCATAGCGAACCCAAGAAAGCGCCCGTACCACGCTCATGATGGGCTACCTTGCCACACCCCTTCTTTTTGGAATCGAAAGCCCTCCGGCATTCACGGCAAACTCTGGCTTTCTTGTGCTCGGACCTCTGCTCTGCGTTCCAAGCCAAACGCTTTTTGCCAAGCGTCCTCCAATCCTCAAAGTGATCTGCAAGGTTCATCATGGACGCGAGAAACTTGAGAACCACAGCACACTCGTCATCGCCAGGCAGAGCGTGGATCATGCGCAGCTTGTGCTCATCAGGCGGTTCGTAACCGCACATGCCCACGGCCGCGTAGCCCACAGCAGCCACCCTGTTCTGACACCCCAAGATCGCGGATCCACCTTATTCACATTCATTGCTAAAAACCTCGAAGTCCGCATACACCATTAACGGAGATAATTCACAAGACAGCGTGGTCCGATACCGCAACGCGGATGCTTGCGGCGAGGGCATGGAAATTTGGGATTTCCTACCCTCCAAATCACCACGGCACTGCCCGTTCTTGAAATGAGTCCGCAAGGCCAGCTCGGACTTGAAATTCTGAGTGCAGATGGGACACAGGTGCAAACGGCTTGTTTTGCGCCACCTTAACCCAACCTGTTCGCCTTGCTGGCCTGCGAAGGCATTGAAGTTGTGGATCAGTATGTAGTGGTTTTGGTGGAGTAGAAGAGCTACGACGCGTGTGCCATCCCTCCTGGCCTGGATCACTTCGTCGGGCGGGGCTCTCAGCAGAGTTTCTCCGACAGGCCTCTCCCCGCGCTGCACTTTCTCCACCCACTGGTACACAACGACCTCAACCACGCCGAGGTTTGAGAGCTCAAAGTCCCTGATGGCCTCGATCGGTACAACGTCCATGTCCACGGCGGTGAAGTCAAGGCCAACATCCACAAGCTGACGAGGAGGAGCATCAGCTCGAGGGCGACCTCGGCCGCGAGATTGCGCGTAGAAAGGAGGACCTGTGCAGCGGTTGGTGTGAAGCCGGCCAAGGCTGTCATAGTTCCCCTGGGGACTTGAGGGTTCCAAATTCCTTTCTGGTTTGTGAGCGACTCCGGCAGCTCCACGCGGCAGCCGCCGCCCACATCAGGAGCCGGCACGTTCTGCAAGCCCGGGGCGACCAACACGTCCATCCACCAGATTCCCACGATGCTCCACCCACTGCCTGGAAGAGACGCGGTCTCGTACTTCCACCTCATAGCCGCAACGATCTGGTGCATGCGGAGGTCAGGTGTGTCAGACTGGGGGCTCCGCCAGGGTACCACGTTCTGC